CGTTGTACATTATGGTTGTTGGCCTTTCCTCGATTCCGTTGAGTGATGGTCCGGAGTCGTATCCACTCGGATTCCGTTGAGTGATGGTCCAGAATCCTTCCTACTCCACTCCGCAATTCCGTTGAGTGATGGTCCGGAATCGTATCTTGGTTTGGGTTCCGTTGAGTGATGGTCCGGAATCCGTCTTACTCTGCGATTCCGTTGAGTGATGGTCCAGGATCGCATTTCCCTTGGGTTTCGTTGAGTTTGGATTGAGATAGCTTCAAAGATGTTGGCTTCGGCCGAACTGTGTCACTCTAACCCTACTTTTCATTGTGTTGTATAAGAATATGGTTGTGAGATGTTGTGATTGTTATTATTATGAATAAATTGGTGGATCAATGTGGCTTGAGAATAAGACTATGCTTCGTTGGTTCTTTGATATGTTACATGCTATGAATTATGGTATTATGTTGAACCATAGTGATTTATCTCATTGATGAAATGGAAGTCTTCAATGTCATGTGGGTTGTTATGTAGCCCCAAAATCTAATGATTCACGCTTATTGAATTCCATGATGTATTTCTGCAACTATGTGTTTCTTGTTGATAGCCAGTTGTTTTGAGTTCTGGTGATTGATGACATGATAATAGATTGACTAACAAAATTTAAAGTTGATGTATTCTTGTACTGGTAGGACGAAAGAATTTATTTGAGTTACAGGGTTTGACTAAACGTGAGATTCACTGATCGGCTTGCAACGATTTTTGTGGTAAGGTAATGTGTAACTCTGATGGGACGCTACTTAACCGTTTGATCTTGTTGGTTTGAAGGCTTGTGTTGCTTGTGTGACATTGCTCTTGGTTAATATTATATTATGCGATTTTAAAATTTTGAACGTTAAGATGATTGTGCATGGCTAGAATTTTTAATGTTATTCTACCAATAAATGTTGCTGGGAATCTAAGTATACGGGTGAGGATCACGATGATTTTTTTTCGTTGATTTATTTATTTTGAACTTGAATAAACTCATAAGCTAAGGTTATGACTTTATTCACTATAAAGGGAATGATGGGGAAGTTTGTAATTACAAATTTGGTTGGTTTGGTAGCTAGAATCATGAGTATTAATGAATTCTTATTAATATTGGCATTCTTTGTGATTGTGCAAAGAGTGGTGTTGATGTCATACGGGGATGACGGTGATTGTAATTGTGAGTTGAAGTACAATGTGGTCGAACTTGCGTTAGCTCAATTTGGTTATAGCTGAAATGTGAATGTGTTTGTGCAACACTATTTTCTTGAGTTGCCTTCTTGGATAGTTATTTGATAATGGAAATTTCGAGGACGAAAATTTTTTTAGGGGGAAAGAATGTGAAATCCCGTTCCCGGATTTCACTGTTATAATCTACGTATTTGTATTATTGAGATTTTATATTATTTTTGAGAAATTATATTAATTTATTTGAAATTAGATTTCAAATAAAATAGGTATGAAGGGTGAAGGTTGGAAAATTATTATTTACTCGTTGACCTTTTGAGGTCACAAGTAACATTTTCAAATAGGTCTCAAAGCCATGAGCGCATAGGCGAAAGCCGTTTGCGAGTCCGAATTATACGGTATAGTTACGGGCGTTTGAAGTTGTGAAACTATAGATTGTGGAAATTATTATAATTTCCACTTAGGGGTATAAGTGGCCCAAAACCCTTTTTGGGATGGGGGGACCGGCATTTTAAGAGGAAAAAGAGGAGGGGGGGGGGAGAAAAGAAAGGAGGAAAGGGATCTCCCTTTCCCGTTCGTACACCCGCGCCCCACCTCGAGCAAATTCCAGCGATTTTCGCCATCTTTTCCGTTGAACCACCACCATTAACTACCTGCAATCTCTTCCACTACCTTCCTTCTACCTTTCTCACCTAGGATTGAAGGGTTTTGGGTCCAAAACCATGTAAAAATCATGTGGGTGACCCATGGAGTTTTGACGGCGATTCCGCCGTTCCGGTGAGTTTCACCACCCACCACCACCCTTAGTCAACTCCCCTTGAACCCAGAAACAAGACCCAATAGGTTGTAGGGACGTTGGGATACCGAGGAAGTCGAATTGAAGAACACCCACCTTTGGGTTCCGGCGGTTCGTGGCCAGTTTGGGGTGTTTTTCGGCCAAATTGGCCTTGGCCGCAGGTATAAAGTTTACTTTACTTGTTGAGATCTTCATTCTTGTGGAATTTGAGAATTTTTGGGAAAAATCGAATTTTCTGATATGTAACATTTGATTTATGAAATGCTTCTTTCGTTACCAAGCATCTAGACCTAGAAGGGAATTCTAGTTGAAATAACATCCTTGTTAATTTTGTGCTTATTTCAGTGTGTTTGGTTGGGGTTTAAGAGTTTAGTTTGTTTACGAGTAGTTATATTCAAATCAATGGTAAACGAACCAATTTCTCTTATATATGTATATATGTGTGTCCATATATATGTATATAATTGCGGCTTATACTTGTTGAAAAGGGGTAGTGGCAAGAGTGAAGAGGTAGTGTTTTGAAAAACCATTAACTTTAGGTTGGTTATTAAAGGATAAAGAAAGAAGGTTACGAAACATAGGCATAGAACCTTACGATGTTGATTGCATAGTCGAGAAATATTATGCATGTTTACTAGTATGAAAATGTGAGTTGGTTTTATAATGTGATTTCTATTGAAATGTGAATTTTATATACTTATAAACCTATGCTTATTAAATAGGATTTGGCTTGTGTACTGATGATGTTTGTGATATATGTGTTTAATTATCTTTTTAATAATGTGATTGATAATTATGATGAACGTTATGGCAATTATGGGAATTAAATATTGTTTGATAATTATTTGGATATGCTTGCCAACTGAATACCTATTTGAACTTGGCACTATTACGTAGCATGAGATGGGGATGGAAGTCAGAAGATGAGTTAGGTACTTTATTAGATTTTTAGTAGAAATAGTAATTGGAATTCCTTGTGTTGTGCGTTATCTGACTAGATGCTGGTTGATATGTGGAATCGATAGCATGTATGCGTAACATTGTGTTCAATGTGTTATGATGAGATTGCACCACGTGGAGGTGGTACATGGATGGTCCTTCTTGGTATACCCGTGATGGGAGACCATACGCATTCTAGAGGTGATGATGATTGATTGTACTTGGTACATTTTGTAGGTGATCATATTTGGTTTAGTTCCATTGAGTGATGGTTCGGAACCCGAGTTATTGTTTTTCGTGGAGTGGCCTAAAATCCCATTATTTAGAGAAGTAGGCTTGGCCTAACTAAGTCACTCTAGCCTTAGTTTTTATATATATTTGTGTCAATGGTTTCGAGTCATATGAATTGAGTTAGAAAGTATGTTGGACGTCTGAGTGACTCCTTTGGGAGTTTTCATGATTCGATTATGATTTCATAAGGTATGAATTTAAAAAATATGGGAATGATTGTTATTACTTTGATCAAATTAATTAATTAGTGCGGCTAGGGAATGGTTTTGTGTTTCGTCGGTTCTTAAATATGATGTACGTTGTGAATTGCGATATCATGATGAGACATAATGATTTATATGTTGGAGGGGTGAGAAATCATGTTTTCATGGCGGTTGCTTATGTAGCATGAGTCCAAGAACTACATGTTATCAGGTTATAATAAATATTTGAGGAATGCTTTGTTTTCTTTCTAAACTTAGTGGGATAAACGTCTAATTTTGTGTTAATGAACTACGAATGGCTTGATCTCTATTTGAGGGTACGTAGGCAGTCTAACGAGGAGGTTAGATGCAGCCATAAGGTAAATGAAAAATTTCCTTGAGATTTGATTCTCGAATTGTGTTTTGCCATATTTATGAGACGGGGTATGTGAGATTTATGAGTATTTGAGTGACGTCACGTGTCGATCCTGGACGTATGTCGGGATCGAGGCGTGACACAAACGGTGACTTGGAGTTAGTGGAAGACTCCCAACTCTGAGTTCAAATCTTGTTTTTACGAGAATTTTGAAATTGCACCAAAATGTTGACTTGAAGTTAGTGGAAGACTCCCAACTTTGAGTTCAAATCTTTTGCAGCCAAGCAGTGTTTGACCTCTTTATGACCTGTATAGAGTATGACACTTGTCCATTACTAACTCCACTCTTAAACGTTGTTAACTCACTTAAAGCCGTTCTTCATTCCATTTAATCACATCAAAACCTCAAAACAAGTTGCAAAGCACCAAAAGCAATAGGTTAGGAAAAAAAAAAACAAACAAACATCAAGCAGGAGGACAAACCTATAAATCAGAATGCACATTATGTTGATTTGAGTATTAATTGTAAATATTCTTGGGGTCCTATTTTAGGTAGGACTAGTATTCTTAGCCCGCGTGTTGCCACGGGAATGTTAAATAAAAAGTAATTATCGTATATAAGTATTAAAATAATAGACTAAATGTGTTGTAAGCATTGTCCGTAGATAGGTAAGAACTATTTACATAAAACATCAATGTAAAAAACTAAGGACAAAGACTGTCATGATTGAGACTATATCTTACGAACATAAAGAAAGAGCAAAATCTAAGAAATCAAAAAATTTCTACTCAATATTGTTCTCTTTTCTATAAGAAGAGATATCGTGAAACGTACAGCCTTCACTATAAGCCTTGAAAAATAGCCAATCTCCAAAATATTAAAATAAAAAAAAAACCCTACAATTTATACTTTTAATAGTGTAGGCAATTTTCATAACGTAAATTCCATTATATAGAAGGCAAGCGTAAATAACCCATTAAATGTAAATTACATAAAGCTACCTCAACTATTGGGTCAATTACTGTTTTATATCCCATCTTTAAAAAATTTCAATGTCATACCTCATTTACGAATTTTTTACAATTTATTACCTTCCGTTAGTTTTCAGTTAATTCTTTCATTAAATAGTGACATGGTTTAAAAATATTAAAAAATTAATTAAATATTAAAAACTAAAAAAATCATTTAATAAATTTTTTTTTTGCATGAGACCCATCCCTTATCCCCTCACCCTTTCTTCCCCCTCCCGTCTTCCCCAAACCCAAACCCAAATCCCACCCGCCTTCGCCTCCTCCACTTCCAGCTTCTCTTCTGCTTCCGGCTTCACCTCCTCCACTTCCAGCTTCTCCTACCGCTCCTCCACCTTCTTCATCCCCCTCCCTCTTCCCCCGCACCCTCCTACTCCTATTCAATTTCCCAAAACCCACTTCCCTCTGTAAAATCCCCCAACACCCACCTTCAAATGCTCCATATTCAACCATTTTCGACACCCAAATTTCACCCCCGCACCGCAGGTAGTCCTTGTGGTCCAGCAAGTCAGAAATCGGAGTCTCGCCGGTGACGTCCCAGTACTTGACAACGGCATCGTCGCCGCCAAAGAACAAATGGAGCTTATCAGAAGCTGGGTATTTGACGAATCGAGCTGGGCGGGTTTGGTGGGTCGAGACCGAGAGCTTGAGGAGGAGGGTGGGTTTGTTGCAGAGGTGGTCGTGCTGGATGCACAACCACATGTGGCCGCGGCGGTGGCCTAAGATTGTGCCGATGACCATGGATTTAGAGGGGCGGGTCTACTGGGGCGGAATCGCCATGCTGTCATTCTGGGTTTGGGTTGGGTGTGCAGAGGAGGGAGGGAGGGAGAAGGGAGGGGGAAGAAAGTCAGAGGGAGAAGGGATGGTCGGGGGTGGGTGCACATGAGAGAAGGGAGGGAGAAAGGAGGGGGAAGAAAGGCAGATGTTGTGGTGGATGGGATTACTGGAAGGGGTGGGTGAGATCCGGGTTTGGGTTTGGGGAAGACGGGAGGGGAAGAAAGAAAGGGTGAGGGGATAAGGGGTGGTCCCCATGCAAAAAAGAAAAAAGGATTTTTTTTATTTAGTTTTTAATATTTTATTACTTTTTTAAGCCACGTCACTATTTAACATAAGAATTAACAGAAAACTAACGGAATGTATGAAATTGTAAAAAATTCGTAAAAGATGTATGATATTGAAATTTTTTAAAGATGAAGTATGAAACTATGACTGATCCAATAATTAAAGTAGTTTTATGTAATTTATCCATGAATTAACTACGATAAAGATGCATTGTAGATGCTGGAAATCACAGAATCAAAAAGAGTCGTGACAGAGAAAATAAAACACTATTTATCCTCAATTCAAGGTAATTAAAAAGAAACTATACATGCGCAATAGTTATAGGTACCAGTCCTGAGCGATCAGCCAAATAGTGCCTCAAGTTGCCCCTTTGGGGAGCTCATGACTATGCCTTGACCCCCCAGTTGGCCCATTGGTTGTCTAAAACTCTGCTCTTAGCTCTTTTCTTGGGGTATAATTCATAGTTGTAAATTAGAGCCTAATTAATTTATGTGAACAAATTAAATCAAGTAAAGGGCAAAGAAACAAATGACGAATTGTAACTTACATTGAAGGTAGGTTCAAGAATGTCATTGCTGAAAATGCTGAAGTATTTCTTGGGATTTCCAAAACCAACAGGGAAGAATTCCTGCAGAATGTTAAACCAATGAGATAAATTACTACAAGAATAGTGATTATTAGGGGCAGTGGATTAGATGTGGATATAAGGATTTGCCCTTAGTAATCTTCATTAAGGGCAGAAATATAGATTTGTCTTTATTAATCATAATAGAGGCAAAACAATAAATGCTCCTATTAGTGTTATTACTTTTAGTTATTAGCGGCAGATAAATGAGCTTCTAATATATATAGTTTTAACTTAATTCATTTTTTTTTTTTAAAAAAATTAACTAGCATCTACCCACACAAAAAAATGTGTGAGAATGACACGCCCCGACCCCGATATTCCCCGAATACCAGGATAGGCACGTGCTGGCCGACACCCGAGGGTGACGAAAGCCATTTATTAAGTGCAAATGCTAAAAACAAGGGATAAATAAGGCTTATAAATATAAAAGAATAATGAATATGCAAATAAGGACCGTGTTCAGAGCACACCACTAATCTAGAACACTAAAAGAAAAAAATATAAAATTGAATGAAACGAAGGAGTGGGTCCTCCACCGAGAGGACTCGAAGATGCCGATGCTGAAGTGCCTGGACGTCGGGATTGTATGCCTCAATTCTAAGTCCTGAAGGGGGCGCAAAACAAACATGAGTGGACCAAGTTGATATATATATATATATAATAAAACAGTTATCAACATACTAACCCCTAGGTTTTATGAAAACACATATATATAATGATAAACATAGGTTTTCCGAAATCTAGCATGTCGTGCAATGTCTCAAATCATAAATCGCATAAATAATAAACACTAGTGAATGTCCGATATAACTCTTCAAGCCCCATGCCGGCTCCCCGTCTCTGAGCACACAGTCAGAGGAAAATGCACTTCAGGGCCCTTGCCGGCTCCCCGTCTCTGAGCAGACAATCAAAGGAAAACACACTCCAGGCCCTATGCCAACACCAAACCGTCGCCCGGGACGGACCGGATCTATCCCTACGTCCCGTAGCGGAAAGGACCACTAGGTAAGTACAAAACCAGTGAACATACATATATTGAAAATCAACTTCATAGTATAAAGTCATCCATCATCTATACTATAAAGAGGTGTTCTAAACATGTTCTAAATATCATATCGTCATCCATCAGATATTCTATAAGAACATGGGTTATAGGAAAAATAGTAATAATTCAAACTAGCCTCAGTAAGCATGTTATCTCGTAAAACGTTTCATAAAACATAATCATCAAATCATGCTTTTCATGTATGCATTTCTACTATCAAAACATGCATTTTTAGAAGGGGTCCACTCACAGTACTTCGCCGTCGAAAAGCCACGTCATCTAGCGAAGAAGGAAACGCCATCGATAATTGCCCCTAAGCACATAAATGGTACATTTAGTCAAACTCTACTCAAACGATTGAATTTGGAAAAACGGACATCGGGAACGGGTTCAGGACGTCGAAATTAGCCTAGAAGGGGTCCCGCGCGAAAACCGAAAAACTCAATCCGGAGGTCAAAGTCAACGTTGACCGTTGACCGATCAAAGTCAACGCTCACCGTTGACCGGGTCAACGGTCAACGGGTCAGGGTCTGGGTCAACGGGTCAGGGTCACGGGTTTGGGCTTTAGGGTTTTGGGTTTGGGTTTGGGTAAATGGGTTTAGGTAATTGGGTTAGGTTTTAGGTGGGTTGGGTTTGGGCTAGAAGGAAAATGGGTTTGGGTTGGAAACCTCACGGCCCAATGGCCCAATTAAAAAGGGTAATGGGTTTGGGCTTGGCAGGAAAGGCCCAAAGGCCTTGGGTTTGGAGTTCGCAGGATTTCCAAGGAGGGAGAAGGCCGGACTTCGGCCGGAGAATTCCCAAGCTCCGTTGGGGCTCAAAACTTAACCAAAACATGTCATTCAATATACCAAATTGAAGCCCCGAAGGTAAGGAATCGAAATATACCCTTGGTTCCCGTCATTGTGGCCGGAGTTGGCCGGAAAACAGCTTGGAAGCCACGGGTGTCCGCCGGAAACTGGGTAAGATTCAAATGAGCATAACTTCTTCAATACTCAATGAAATTAGGTGAAACAAAAAGGAAAGTTGTAGTACTCAGCGAGACGAAGAGATTGATACCTCGCACGCCGGCCAACTCGCCGTGGTTTGGCCGGAAATCGCCTCGAAAGGGACGGTGCTCGCCGGAAAATTGGGAAAGAGTCTCCGAGGTGGTTTCTTCATGGTTTGACGTCCAAAACACAACCACGGGGTTAGAAAAGAGTTATAGGTGCGGGCTTGGGTGTGTGTGTGTGTGTTCTTGTCGGACCGAGAGGGGGGATGGAGAAATCACAGAGGAAGAAAGAGAGAAGAGAGACTTTTCAGAAAAAAAAAGAAAAGGGAAAGGGATAGGGAACCGGGAACAAAACAGGGGGTGGGCCCCTTGGGCTCACCAATTAAGGCTCAAAAACAATTTTAAAATGGAAAGTATCCCCCAAACTTAGTGAAAATACAAAAATACTCATTTTATTCCGTAAATTCCAGGACGGGTTGTTACAATCTACCCTCCTTAAAAGAATTTCGTCCCGAAATTTAAAATCACAACTTAAACCGAAATACTCGAAAATAGGAAGAAGAATATATGTATAAAGAGAATTCAAGTCAGAGTGGGTGCATCAAAGAGAATATGCCACACCGTCGCGAGCGGGTTGCCAAATCCTCTATCATGCCTCCAAGCTCTTACTTTCTTCCCCATCAATGTAAAAGTAGAAAGATACTTTAATAAGATATAAAGTTGAAAACATATATAGACGTAAGTTCAAAAATAAGTACGAAAAATACTATTGTGTCAAAATAGTCAAAATAGATATGTACTAACATATAGGTCAAAAATTCGTGTTGAACTTAAAACTGAAAACGAGAATACCTCCCCCAAAACATTTTAACGACAAAATAAATAATTAAAGAAAAGGAAGTTAAAATACTTACTGAAAATCAAAACTGAACTCAAAACTGAAAAAAAATGAGAATGGGTCTCGCCTAAGCATACTAACGTCACGTACTCCGAGAAAAGATGCGTCTCTAGGTCAAGTCCTAACAATAACAAATCTGTACCAACTGCTGAAGACGAATCTTCCTGCCCACTTGCTTAACGAATCCAACAAATAAGTTTTCAATACCACAGTCGGCCGCCCGTGATATCGATCACACATTTGTTGTCTTGATAAGCAAGTAGTAATTTGCTGAGGGTGCACAATTTCACGCATCGTAATTTCAACCTTTTGAATACTAGTTCACAATACTCCTCTGCTAACTAGTATTACCTATAAAACTCTCGTACCATGTCGCAAAAATGGCGTACTCAAACCGAACAAAATAGAAACTGTCGTCATAAAACTCTATCCAGTATCAAGCATACTTTCCTCCTCAATTCTTCCAAATGTGACCAACTACTCCAGTGTTTTGCCAACAAAGAACCCATTTGAAAACTGTACCTTGGGATTCAAAGGAAGTGGCTACCATGCTAATAGTAGACCCAAAAGCTCAAGCCAAGCAAGCAGAAAACGAAAAGTCACCTTTCCCAACAAGCGGTATCTCTTGGGAATCATTGTAGTGCTCGAACCACCTCTCCAATTTTGCTTAGTTGCAGATTTCTAGTAAAACAAGGTCAACGTTGATGGAAAGAAGGACTCTCAAGTAATCAACCTAAAACAAATGAAAGTACACACCTTTCGAGAGAAGTGTAAAGATTATCCAATTCTCGCCTCGACCACGATATGGTGCCAACCCAAAGTGCACTAAACAGATCTGCTAGAAGTGTTTCAATAACCACATACTCACAACAAAAGAGTCTTGGAGTGAAACAGTGAAAATATGAGTTGAGACGGCACATAACATTGGAAAGCCAATGTGATGCCTATGAATTATAGTAAGATGGTGATACAATCCGCTGACCTTCTGTACTCAAACCTTCATCCAACTCTTACTAAAAGATCGCACAAACATCACGCTCACGTGCTCACGAACCGAAAGATCCTGGTGTCAAGGTAGTGGAAAGCTACGTTGAGGCGAACACATCACATCATCGAAAAG